TTCAGGGATTCCTATGAGGCAAATATTAGTTTTCTTTGAATTATCTTGAATTGAATTGTCTTTGTTCTCCATCTGTCAAAATCTTTGGAAGTCTGGGTGCGTTCAAAGTCTTTGTCTTCAGTGTCAGAGATTCTATCTTCTGCCTCGTCCATCCTCTGATGGAGGGATTCAATGGTGCTCTTCAAATCTGCAACCTCTTGTTACAGAGTATCGTAATCCTTGATCATTTTATCTTTGAAATCATTGAATTCCTGGGACAGCTTTTGAATGATTTGAAATTCTAGCTCCCTCTTTTCCTCCACCCTGTTGATCTTACTCCCTATCCAGATTCTGAACTCAATTTCTGACATTTCAGATATCTGAAGTGGGTCAGATATGTAGTGGGTCTTCCATTGTGTCTACTCCATCCTTCTTTGGGGATGTTAATCTACTCTGGTTATTCTGGTTGCCAGAGTTTTTCCGCTGATTCCGTCCCATGTTGAATTTGCACTTTCGGAAACCATCCCTAAAACCATTCTGCCAGTGGCTTCTTCTAGTTTTCTCCTGGGTACAACCCAGCAAGACCCTGGGAGGCGGGGCCAGCAGGCGGGGTGATGCAGCCCACCCCTACAGGAGTCAGTGTCACTGTCAAGGCTCTGGGAGGCAGGCACAACCTGCCCCAGCAGAGGTCAGTTGTCTTTGCTGGCTACCAAAGCCCCAGAGACAGGTACACCGCTGGCGGGATGGCGCAATTCTCCCAGGCAGGAGCTGCTGGCAACAGCAAGCTGGCAAGGCCCCATGAGGGGGCGCGCAGCTGCGCGACCTGCCCTAGCAGAAGTCAATTGTCCTTGCAAGCCACTAAAGCCCCAGAGGCATGCGTGCAGCTGGCAGGATGGCACAACCCTCTCTGGCGGGAGGTCACCGTGATCCTGCGCTAGGAGGTCCCAGGAGGGAGGCGCACGTCTGCGTGTCCTGCCCCAGCAGAAGTCAGCTGATGTCACAATTTGCCAAGCCCCAAGAGGCGGGCGCGCTGCACCACTGATTGGATGGCGCAACCCTTCCCCGCTGGAGCTGCTGGCGATTGCCAACTGACAAGACCCTGGGAGGTGGGCGCGAGACTGCGTGACCCACCCAGCAGAAGGCAATTGCCCTCCCTGGTCACCAAAGCCCTGGAGGCTGGTGCGGGATTGGCGGGACTGCGTGACTCTCTTAGGCAGGGGCTGGTGGTGATCCAGGGCCAGGGAGCTCCAGGAGGCAAGCACTTGGTTGCTTGCAGAAGTCAATTGCCCTCGCCAGTCACCAAAGCCCTGGAGGCAGGCAAGAAACTGGTAGGACTGCGAGACCTTCCCCAGCAGGAGTCAATGGAAGCCCCGGGCCAGCAGCACTCCGGGAGGTGGGCGTGGCTCAGTGACCCGGCCCAGTAGAAGTCAATCACTGTCAAGGGCCACCAAAGCCCAGGAGGCGGATGCCTGGGGAGGTGTGCAGCCCTCCCTGTTCGGTGGTGTCAATCCCCGACACGGCACCAAGGTCTCAGGAAGTGCAGATAGCAGCCGGAGAGACAGCTGAGCACAGAATGCGCTGACTGAGGGGGGTCCGTCTGCACCCAGAAACTGTGGATCAAGCAGTTCTCCCGGTGAAGGACTGGGACAGGGGTTTGGTCTTGAGAGGGTGGGTGGATGTCATTCCTGGCTCTCCTCTCCCTATCCCAGCTGGCAAGGGGAGGGAGAGTGGACTGGAAACTCAAAATGGCAGAGCTAATGCCACTTCCACTCTTCTGCCTGTGGGAGGGTGTTCCGAGTCTCAGCTGGGTTTCTCCAGGGTAGTAAACTTCCCTGTTGGCAGCTCTCACTCATGGAGTGAGAGAATAGGTCCTCAGTTATCGGTGGCCTGTAGGAGACTCGGAGGAGCGGTTGAAGAGGAAACAAAGGAAAAGCACACCTTTCTTGGGGGTGGGGATGGGCGCTATTCCTTTGGGGAGATTTATGTACCTGAGGAGCGTCCTCTAGAAGTCTCCGTCTGTTTCAGAAGAGGTGCCCCCCCCCCCGGGTATCACTTTTCTCTCTCAGCTGGGCTCCCAGTTTTTGACTTTGTTGGGTGTTTCTCCGGACTTTATCCTTTCCTCTGAACAGGAGCTTCTGTCGGAGACTGGTGCCTGTCCGCCATCTTGACCACTCCCCCAGATGCTTGAATTTTAAACTCCTCAAAACTGACCCAGACACTAGAAAAATCTTTAATGGCATTTCTTTGGCTAAGGAAAGATGTTTTTATTTTTCCACTTATTCAAACTAGATTCTTTAAGGTAGATTTGAAATTTTTTTATTTTAGGAGAAGAAAGTTATATTTTCCACTTGGAATCTTTATATTACTTTATGCTACTTTCTCAAACAACGCGAGTCTGTGTCATATACAGTTTGCATTTAATCTTCTAAAATGTGTAGTAAGAGCACTGACACAAAGGCTAATAGTTCTTGAAATATTACTTACTATAATTTAAAAGAATGTAGGAAAAATATCATCATACAGGTGTTATACAAAAAATACTGCTATTAAATATTCAGCATATGGATCCTCAAGTAAAACAAAGCTAGCGCTCCTTCTCCCTGTAAGCTTTGATCAGTACCAAGGAGCTCTGAGTCCAGAACCTGCTAGGCTCCCTATTAATTACTGATCTGGAATAAACCACGCAGCCTTTATGTAGAATGTGGGGACTGAGTTAACAAAGCGATGTCACGTTTTTTAGTCTATAATTCTAAAACTAGTTACATGATATGGACAACATTACTTTAGCTATATTTTGTGGATGATTTACATATTTTAGAAGCTAGTATCTTGAAGTGGTAGCAGAGTGTGTACTTCATCTTAGACTAGATATCCTCAATCAAAATGCAAATAGCAAAGAAGCCAGTTAGCAAGCATTTGTTGGGTACCATCTATTCAACTGCAGCATTATGCTGGGATCCAGAGATACAAGCCATGATCCTTGTTCTAAAGGTTATCAAAATCCTACCTACATGAAATGACTCTTGACTTATAGCAAAAAGCCAGAGTGAGCAGACATGAATAGGTCCCTTTCCTGCTTACAAACATATAGAAGTTATGATTAAAATAAGGCAATCATTCAAATACAGTGTGTCCCAAAAGCTACCCCAAAAGTCATCAGACACAGATAAAATGGGAGAATGTAGCTAAATTTACCTTTATTAAAAAAAATTCATTACAAACTTTTACAAAATATTTACAAAATATTCTCTACGTGTTAGCCTTGTCTTTGTAAAATTTTATAACAAAC